TACTTAATCTTGGCCTGTACAAAATACAGCGACTGGATTGTATGTGGCCCGTGTGATAAGTGTAGACAATGAGGGTTTTAAAAATAGTAAATTTTTTTTTTTTTTTTTTTTTTTTCCTGGGTTCATTATAATAAATACAGTGATTGATCATGTTTTTGGAAACGTGACTTTGTTCAACCGATATTTCACAATTTTGCATCTAATTAATCCATTTTAACAAAGTATCAAAAACTAAATCTAAACATTTCTTTCTCCTACTCATCCTAACCTCCACCAAAAAAAGGTCAATGTTTGTTTTCTGTACATTTTTTCTTTTTTTTTCTTTTTTTTCTTTTGCGTAAGGCCTGCCCTCTCTTGAGATACATTTGTGCCAGTTTTTCAGCCAGTAATTTACTCAAGTCTTCTGCAAGCAATGTGACCATTGGCATTTTTTTATATCTTAGATCTTTCATTTTTGACTTTTATATTATTTTTTTATTTTAGTTCTGTGTTTTTTTTTTTGTTTTTTTTTGTTGTTTTTGCCTTTTTTTTTCCACGGCTCTTAGTTTGATTTGTATATTGATTGTAAAACCATGAAGCAAGCAGCAGGACAAGTTATAATATTACATTAGTCTTGTTAAAAAGAAAAGAAAATCAATATCTTTCATCTGATTGGTTCTTCACTCTTTTGTGCTGATCATATTTTTAACCAATCGTCTACTCTCCCTGCTGGCCAGGCTGTCAGTAACTCATTTCCTGCTTATCTTAGCTGACCTTGACCCAAGCATAAAGTAATGATGTTGCAACTAATGTCACCACCAGCTTTAGTTCTTCTGAACTCAACATTCCATCATAAACTGCATTAATATAAGATGATTTCTTTTCCATATCTCACTTTATTATATGTAGTAGCATTGATTCTTGGAGGAAGCATGAAAGTGATGGTCAAAGAAATGGATGCTGACTCCTTGACTTAGTATTTTGCCATATGCTGACTAGCCTCACTGAGGAATCTGGGTGTGAGAGGTGTGTTGTCTCTTCAAAATTGTTATGGCTGTCTCTCTGTCATTGCACCATTTTGGTCTTATATCCCAAACTTAAACTTATCACTGTCATAATTTCGTGCCAACAAGGTTTTCTAACCAATAGTTTGCCATTCTTGGCCAAATTCTGCATTCCGTAACTTACAGGTCTTGTCAGGAAAGCATTGATTTAACAGTATGGTTATGTAAACCTACAATGTGACCCTCATTTAGCTTTCCATCTGCTGGCCAATGATTATCCTACATTGCGTTTTGATTCTCAATTGGTATGCACCAAAAGCTGGACAAGTGTTTGCTGCTTGCTTACAAGGTAACAAGAGGAAAGACAAATGTCATGTCAATAGTAGCACAAACCCTGTTTCTCATATTATAAAATAGATGTTTTCACCTGCTCACCTCGGTTTGCAGGTAGGTGATATTTGACAACTTCTGCTATATGGATCTCTTTCCTCTGCCAATTCTTTGCAACATGTTGGCTAGCAATACAAATGGATGTCATCAGAACCATGCAACGGACAAGTCCATCTACTGCAAAGGGCAGGCCAGAACTGACTCCAATTCCAAGCATGGCTGTTAATATAGACCAGAACCGAAATTCTATTTTTTTTTTTATCACTTTGGAGTACCAGGAGTGTAAGCTTGGATGTGCAGGTGGTGTAATTGATAATGGCTTGCAATTATTAATATAGATCAGCACCCAGATACATCCTATTTCTGGTTTTGTTGTCACTTGATCTCCAAAAAGCCCTCATTCACACCTTTACTCCCTATTCTCTTTTGATCAAACGAGATGCCATCTTAAAAATTAGACTTAAAAAAAGAAGTACCTGCTGGCCATTAGGCAGAAACACTTGAGCTTAAAATAAAACCACATCCTCTTTTTCTGTAGATGTCTATAGTATCACTGTGGAATCATTTCTTACTATTGAGATTTGACACAAATACAGTTTTTCTCTAGTCATTATCACAAAGAACAAAGTAATATTAGTAATTTGAAGATGTTTCTTATCAGATGATGAAGTCATCAACGTCATCAGTCCCATGACTGGGTGTGGTTGTAGAGTCACTGTGCAGCTTGAAAACCTGACCAGCTCCCTATATATATCTCAATTGTGTGCCAATGTCTAACTCCCTGTGATATTCCAGTTTTCTCAACGACATTGTCAGCACATTTTTTTTTTCTCTTTCATCTAAGGTGGATGCCTTGTAGGATGACAGTGGAAAGACTGTCGTTGCTTCTGAACTAGCCATAACATTTCAATGTCCCCTTCTTGATATTGGATACGAGGTCTTCCAGTTGGCCTGTTTCTTGTTTGATAGTGTTTCAATTGTGATGCGGTCTACATAGGAGGTACGTAAGATGGTTTGGTAGCATCTCATTTCTAATGCTTGGATTCTTTGATGTAATTCTGCTGTTAATATTCAGAAAGATTGTGAAGGCCAACTGCATACCACATTCTGATCTTTAATGTCAGGCAGATGGTTCTTGTCTTTCCAGATGGTTTTTAGTTTTTATCACAGCTGCAATTGTTTGTGATGCTGTGGAATTATTTTTATACATGAAGCACTGTTCACAATTTGTCGATTAGTATTTCTGTCATAATTTTGGCTGCTTTTCATCAGAATTACTTCGGCCCTCACTTTGCAACCATTAGTTAATGAGTTATGGGTAGCTTGGAGTTAAAAAAAAAACTAAAAAAAAAACAGAAAGGAAAAAAATTGATCAAAAAATATTTAATCCAATAAAAATAATCTAGCACTGGTTGTATTATGCATGTGGTTTGTTCAGATGTGGATGTTAAACTTGTGGGTTTTTGTTTTTTTTAGGTCAAGGTGTGTGTTCCATATATAAACAAAGAAGAAAGATAAAGCATGCAAAAAAATTTGAGTTTCTGCTATGGACAGTTATTTTTTTTTATTTTGACTATTTTGAAACAAAGTTAAATATCTCTTGAGTATGTATTTTTTTTTTTTTTTCTTTTTCTTTTTAGTTCAGGACTAATTTATGGGAAGTAAAGATAAGAATGGGTAAAGATGTTTGAGCTCAAGTCAACCCTCTCACTGAGTTGGCCAAACCTCTACTTCATGAGTAGGGCTGCTAAAACATGTCTAAACAATCTCATTGGCAAGAGAAAGGTTCTGTCCCTTTCAAAAGTGGGGTCATAAAATCGCACATGTGACCAGAAATCCTTTATGATTTCTTGCATCCTGGAGGAAATTAATCTTTTTTATTTAATATTTTATTTATTGGATTTATTTCATTTCCCAAAAAGCCAATGAAAATAATAGCCTGCATAATTGCTAACAGCATAAAATGAATACATGCCATCTATAAAGCCAATAAAATCAAAACTTATATTCTGTGTATTTAGGCAGCATTTTTTCATTGATGCATGTTTCGTTAAATAATATAGACAAGTTTTGTGTGACATCATGAGCTGTGGTGCGATTTTTTTCTGCATCTCGTATACACGAGTTTGTTTTTGTTGCATGAAAGATTTCCAAATAACAACAATCATTGTTTTGTCCGTGTATTGTTTAATATATTGAAATGTAATTGTCATCTTTGATAATGGCCTATGTAAGCTGAAAGCTTAGATAGGATTAAAAAATATATATCAATATGGTGATTTTCTTTCATCTTTCAATAATAATGGTATTAAGCTTATCAGACAATATGAAAGGAATTTACTTAAAATAGACAAAACTTGTCTATATTATTTAATGAAACATGCATATATATATATATATATATATATATATATATATATATAGGCAGTCTATTTTCATTGAAGCATGTTTCATTATTGAATAATTTAGACACATGTCTATTTATTTTTATAAAAATCCTTTCTAGTTCTCTAATTAGCTTCTTGATGTTAAATTGAAATTCATCAAGGGGGGTGCTGTAATTTTTGTTAACCCATGTACTTTCGATCTCCTCTGAGATCATCCTCATGGGTGAATTGTGAAGACAAACTTAATGTAACTGTCATTGTTGTGATAGTGAATTTTGTAAACCTGCACGAATGTGCAGTTATAATTATTTTAAAGTTAACTCTTGTAGCTATGGTGTTTTTTCTTTCTTCTTTTTTTTTTTTTTTTTTGTAAACAAGCATCCGCAATGTAAGGGAGCTAACCAGAGAGGGTAAAAATGCAAATGGTATTAAATGTTAAACATTGCTACTATGTCCTCCTTGATGAATTTCAACTTAAAATACAAATTACAGTACTAAAAATGATTATTATAAAAATAGACATAAAATGTTAATATTATTCAATGAAACCTGCTTGAATATACATGTGTGTGTGTATATATATATATATATATATATATATATATATATATATATATATATATATATATATACACACACACACACACAATTCTCTCTGTAAATCACTAGTGGGTCTTAAATGCCACTTAAGATTATCGCACAAACTTTCATAACTGAATCAATAAGCTGTCAGATCCTCATACGTCAAAACCGATGAGAGTCCATTTATATATATATATATATATATATATATATATATATATTATGAAATGGACAAAGTTCGACAATTATTTTAGGACTTTATCCATTTCATAATGTGTGGCTTCATTTGTTTACATTTGGATATGCATCAAGCAGATATGAATGTATGTGAGAGATTCATGGAAGATTGAAGTTTAAAAACAGTAAAATTGATCTTGCTCGATCGGTTAAGGTACATCAGGCTAAATGCCAGTTTCGTATAGGATACAGGTTCGATTCCTGTCTGAGAACAAATATTTTCTATGAAAATTTCTCAGACATTCAGGCCGGTAAATGTTATTAATATTGTTTATTATATAAACAAAGCATTTACTTAAATATTTGTATCTATAAAAAAGAATGTATAAATATAAAAATGTCTTAAAGTATATATATATATATATATATATATATATATATATATTTTAAACTAAAGTTCAACCAATACAAGTCTCTTGCTTACGGCTACATCACGTTGAAACATCGCTTCCCTTATGATTACTGAAGTTAAGCAATGTCAAGTCTGGTCAGTACCTAGATGGGTGACCACTTAGGAATACCAGGTACTGTATGCTTGGATGCGTGGATGATGTAATGGATAATTGCTTAGAACTGTTAATTGGAAAGTTGAGTTCTAATTCCAGTTAGGTTCATTATCTTCACTTACTCGCAAATACCCTTGGGAAAAGGTATCAATCTATCTCTTCTCCTCCCAGCTATGGGTTAATTAGTAAGACTTGTATCATTAAACTATTATCTCCTCACCCCAGATTCTTACAATCTAAAAACATTTCCTGGCTTTAAATAACCTGCAAAGGTTTGATAAACGAATCTATTAATCAACCAATAATAGTCGCCGGAGTCACTCAGTGTAGAGGTTTACTGAATTGAGGTGTGCTATAAATGTAAGAGGAGGTGTTGAGGTTAAGTAGGATAGAAAACAATTCCTCATTTTACTTGAAGAGGTTAAGATTGTTGTGTTGAGAGAAGTATCCACTTGGGAGTCTTTCACAAAGAAACAGCTCTTGAGGAAAAAGCTGTCTTAGTAGAATGTTGTCCTTACAATTTACGAGGTTCAAAGGCTACTCATCATAGGGGTTACTGAATGTGGTTGTTGTAAGGGAGGGCAAATGAGTGCATATTTGAATATGTCGGGGGGGGGTGGGGTAGATGAGGTTGATTTGACCCTGTGGAAGTAGGATGGCCTGTTGTGGCTATAAAGGTCTGAACTAGTGGAACTAAAAGGCTAGAGGTCATCTGAATCTTTTCCAAAAAAATACTGATAGGTTTGTTATGTCACCTTCATGACAAGGACAAGGCTGCAGAGAGTGGGGGGGGGAAGTAATCCCTGATAAGACAAAAACGTTGCATATGATTTTCTTTTATTTTGCCTAAGTGCAATATTTGAATTTCTTCTTTTTGTTCAAGTGATCTTCTACATGTGATCTTTTTTGCTAAATATTTCCTGGCCTGTTATCGGTAAGGTCTGTAATAAGAGTTGACATTGAAATGTGTATGTTTGCTCATGTTCAAGCCTTGGATGAAAGCCAATGTTGGCTCTGCTTACGAAACTCTAAGAGCAATGTCAACCCCCACTTCTTAGGCAAGCAGAACTCTTGAAATAAAAGCATAGAATGGTGGGGGAGGAGGCTAGAAGCTAAGTGGGGATGAAATCAACTGGCTTATGAGAACTCTTAATGTTTACTTAAGACCTTGTTCTCTGTGGTAGCAGATATCTGTTGCATATCCATATGTGGGTGTATGTAAGAAAAACTTTCTCACTTCATCTGCATGTACTGACATGAACACGCACACAGCTGATTGAAATTATTGACAATTTTTTTTTAATTAGAAATAATTACAGAAGTAATAAAAAAGATTTTCTGAAGAACCAAAGGTAGTTCTAGGTAAAAGGTTAGTAAATATGAGCAAATCAGGAACAAGTGGGAAGATTTTTGTAAATCTAAAATGTTCTAACCTATCTATTTAGCTCCTTTAAATATTTAGGAAATGGACATCAGGAGGTTAATGTTTGACACCAACACAAACAAAACTGAAATATATATGTAGTGTGTGTGAGAGAGAGGGTTTTATTAAAAACAACTGACAAGGTACTGTCGTGAAAAAAATTATCTGCAGTACCTTGTCAGTTGTTTTAATAAAACTTGCATAAAAATGGGATTGCTGGCCTCTTGTATTTGAGGATACCCATCCACTAGGGCAGCTAGCCAATCCCTTTTGCAGATTCTTGTTCAGGCACATTTGTGTTCAACACCCACAGAGCCCACCTGGGGTTTATACTGCAACTATGCTCAGCAGACCTTAGTTACAGTTTCAGGGAGAGAGTGTGTTATCTAGCATGATCAGCCTGGACAATGCCAGCCCACTCAAACCCTCAGTCATGATGACTTGTAACTTCATGCTACCACAGCTATTGATGGTTCCCGAGTGTTCCGTCTACCCAATCTAACTAATAAGGCTTGGGTCAACCTGTGTTGGAGATTTTCAGGCACTTTTCAAAGGTACCACATACTGGGATTTTCCCCCTTCAGACCGATAACATCTCCTTCCTGACAAATCAACCATGGTGAGAAAGTGAACATTCTAACCACTTGGCCATGTGTCTCTCTCTCTTTATATATATATATATATATATATATATATATATATATATATATATATATATTATTTAAAAAATATTTTACATCGCTACATAAAAATCTCAGTTTTGGAACTAAAATTGTTCTTTTATCAGGTGATTTTTTTTTTTTTTAGGTAACTTATGAAAATGATTTACTTTTGAAAACAGAAAACAATATGGTAGCTTATTTAAGATATAAAAAGCAGGGAGGACAAGATTTCAAGGCTTTGTGGGTGTGTTTAGGTTAACCAATCAAGACTAGTCAAGGCTGAAGCAGAAAAGTGAGAAATAGAGGTTGGAGGTTATGGGTAGGTGTGTG